CCCACTGCCTGTCCCTCCCCCCACTGCCTGTCCCTCCCCCCACTGCCTATCCCTCCCCCCACTGCCTGTTCCTTCCCCCACTGCCCGTTCCTCCTCCCACTGCCTGTTCCTTCCCCTACCGCTTTCTGCCTTTTAGACACATGGTAGGGTTGCAGTTCCCCAATCCCTCTAGTTGGGTGAAGCCATGTGACATGTTTTAGCAAGTCAGGAGCTATGAGTGGAATGCTGGTGAGAGATTTCACTGCTGATGAGAGATCTTCTAGATTTCTCTTCCCCTCTGCAAGGATCAGGTACGTTTGAAATGGTAACTGCTCCATTGGTCTGGGACCCTGACTGAGTAGGATGGGCAGAACCCTTCAATCCTTGATCCAAATCTTGGTAGATATGCAGCATGAATGAGAACTAAACCATTGTTGTTTTAAGCCCCTGAGATTTAGGGGTGGCTATTTGTTACTGCAGCATAACCTAGCCTATCCTAATACAACGAGAAGCAGTTTTCCAGCCCTTCGGAGTCTCACTGGGATTCAGATGTCTAGCCCCTGCAGGCATAGGAGTACAAACATCCTTCTATTGTCCTTTGTTATGGGTCCTGAGGACAAAACAGGCTCTGAACCATAAAAGGAACTCCAGAATCACTTGGAAAGACGGCAATAATTATGACTACATAACCCTGAAAAGAGACTGCTATGAAACATTGCATATATTTGTAAACATTAAATCTAGTGGTTCTGCAAGATATCATTAGATCCCCATCAGAATGGCTAAAATTAAAAAAAAAAGTAATACTATCAAATGCGGGCTAAGTTGCAGAGGAACTGGGTCACTCACCCATTGCTAGTGGGAATGCAAAACAGTACAGCCACTCCGAATAAGAGAATGGAGGCTCCTTAGAAAACTAAATGTGTGCTTACTATGTGACCCACAATTTCACTCTTAGGCGTTTGTCCCAGAGAAAGGAAAACACGTTCACAAAAAAGCCTGAAGCTGAGTTTAGCCTAAGGAGCCAAACCTTATAGCAGCTTTATTCATAATAGCCCAAAGCTACAAACAACCCAATGCCCTTCAATGGATGAATGGTTAAAATGGCTAAACAAGCTGTGATAGGTCTCTACCGTGGAATTCTCCTAGGCAATGAAAAGAAACAAAGGATTGATACGTGCAGCAACTTGGATGAATCTTGAGGGAATTATGCTGTGACAAAAAAAAGTCACATATATAGCATTTCTGAAATGACAAAATTATAGAGATGGAGAGCAGGTTAGTGGCTGCTATGGGTTAGGGAGGGTGGGAGGCAGGCCACAGAAGGGTAGCGCGAGGCAGCCTTGTCATGGAACTGACTGTTCTGTATCTTGAATGTGGTAGTTGTCATACGAATCTACACCTGTGATAACACTGAATAGAACTAAACATACACTAACATACACATACACACACACACACACACACACACACGAGCACATGTAAATGTGAATAAGGTCAATGGATTTTGACAACGTTAATTTCCTGGTGGTAACAATATACTACAGCTATGCGATCTATTACCAGTGAGGGAAAACCGGGTGAAGGATAGATGGATCTCTATAATTTCTTACAACTACATGTGAATTTACAGTTATAGTTACACCACAATAAAAAAAATTTTAAATTCTTATTTGTTAAAAAAAAAAAAGACAACTATCTTTACTCTCTAGCCCCTTATCCTGATTTATTTTCTTTTCTTACACTACCAAACATCACACGTTTACTTGTTTATTTTTTGCCTCCCACATTGATATGTAAGCTGTATATGGGTGAAGACTGAATCTGTTTTGTCTTCTGTCCTCCTGGTGCCTAGAACATTCCTAGCATATAGTTGGTGCATAATACATATTCATGGAATAACTGAATGGATATGAATTATGGAATGAATGAATGAGCACTTCTCATAGCGCTCTGCAGCACTTTCAACATATCTGAGCTCTATAACCTAAATATAGCAACTCGTTCAACATTTTGCACATTTTCGAACTCCAAGAGTTACTGCTCTCAGGGCAGAAATATTTCTTTTATAGCGACAGAACTGTAACTCATCTTCCCTAAGTACGTAAGTACGTCTCTAACTCCATAACTACATAATGCCTCCGTTGCTTTCAGCCTCCAGAGAGTCTACCCTCCCTAGCAAAGGTGAAAGTATGGACCAAATTAGATAATTACATACAAGAAAACATTTCGGCTTGGATTCCATTTGGCAAGCATAAATTCAGGGTCAGCTTCCTAGGTGCTTTATAGCCGCAAGAGAAAAATACATTAACAGTAGTAAAATAAAAATGCTATATTTTAACCATTTACCATAGGTTAAAATTAAATAATTACTTTTTTTTAAGGGGAGGGGTCACATGCCTTATCTCAGAGAAGCTGAGTTTATTTTAAGAAGCCAATTAAATGATTGTCAAGGCCAGCCTGAGGCCAGGAACTTGAAGTGAACTGTGATCCAAATAAAAGAACAAATTGTACTGATTTATTGGATCTGAAACCAAACCTTAATATGAACTGTTTACTGAAATGTGAACCAGCCAAATTTTGAGAATAGTTTCCAAACACACCTGATGATTCAGTTTAATCGATCAAATAACTGAATATATATATATATATATATATATATATATATATATATATATATATATATATATATATATATATATATATAATGTATTAAGCTTTTGAACAGGCTCAAAAACTCAAATAGCAAAACAAATTGCAGACCAAACTTGAATTAAGTTATTTCTTTACAGCAAATTAACTAAGGAAGACACAATAGAAACGGAATTATAAACGCTCTTTTCAAAGTCAACATTATAATATAGTGAGTTTTAAAGCAATCAAGCCTGTAATTATTTTTCCAGGGGAGACTATAAGATCCTTTTGATATGTGTGTTTAAAGCAGAAGTTCGGAAGGAGGAAGTTAGGGGTTCAGAATTACAACGGAAAAAGAAAAGAGATGACAGGATGGCGATTTAGAGAAGGGAAACTCAACCACTCTTGAGATTAGCTTTAATACTAGGAAGAGACCTAGAATCATGGCTATGTCCTGATACCCTTGCTGTAGCTTCAGATGGACCCAAACTGGATGACTGCCCCAGTCCCAAAACCCTGAATCCAGAACAGCAAGTGCATTACCTGTGGAGAGTTGGGTGGGGAGGGGGTTCATTTCCTTGTCCACCATCTTCTGGTACAAAGCCCTCAGGCTAAAAGGCTCCACTGTGAAAGGCAGGGTCCCAGTCAACATGGCATACATGTTCACACCTCTGAAAAGAGAGACACCAAAGCATGAGACCAAAAAAAAGGACCGCGGGGAGAGGATGATAGAGTGTACGTGTGTCAGTCCCGTCACTTTCATGTCAACCTCAAGAGGCCCCTTCACAGTCATCCTTCTAGAACCCTCAGCACCACACCAAAGGGGCAAAAGTGAAATGCGTGGGTGAAAGCACACTGTGGAGACGTGGACAACGGGCTGTGGAGACAAGAGGTGTCTACAGAGCTCCAAAAGCTGCCCCACTAAGGTGAGGAAACCATGCCCCTTCCTTATGGAGGGAAGTCCGGACCAAATGATTGAAAAATACCTGGGAAATGTTAGGAACTTCGAATAAACGTAGAGTCTTGCCATTATGTGGTTCTCCCAAGTGTGGTTTACGAAGTGGAGCCTGGAGGAGGCCAGACCCAAAAATACAGGGCAAGTCGCTGCAAGGGAGAACGAGTCACAGCCCAGCCACACGCCTGGTGACCGCTCAGCCCTTTCAAAGAAAAATCTTCTACCAAAAACTGGTGTTTTGCTCTTCCCTTGAATTCTGTTTTGGCCTGTAACTAAAGAAATTCCTTGGAGGGGAGGGGTGTCTCCTTCTCACTCTTGCTTTTTATATCATTGTTATTGCACGAGGTTCTGACACCCAGCCTTGGCCCAGTATCTCAGATGTGGTTAAAATACCCTCTGCCTGGGTTTAACTCCTTATGTTCAAAGCCCAGTCTACGGAAGGCCACATCTTCTTGGAGGATTTTTACCTTCCTGATGTATAAGCCTAATATCATTTTGATGAGATTTCCTGGTGGAGATGAAATGCCTGCCTGCCAAGAGGCCTCAAGTGTTCAAAAGCGCCCAAGGGAATATGTTTTAAAAACCAGGCAATAGGATTTCCAGTCAAAACAAATCCAATGAGACTGATTGAGATTAAGACCCTTGGGTCCCAGTGCCACCGAGGCGCCTCTGAATTACGGCGCTCCAGACGATGGCAGGTACGGGGCCCACGGGCTCCAGCTAGAAATTATTCTCAAATTGCAGACAGACGCTAAGACCCAGTTCCTGCTCCATAACTCACAGTCGAGTTAGGGAGACAGATACATAAACATTCATTCCACAAATACTTGATGGTTGACTCTCTGACCCAGGCTGTGGGTAGGGATGAGCCAAACAAGAACCCACCATCTTGGATTGGGGGGGGAGGGGACACAATCAACAAGTAAACAAAGAGATACGCATAATCCTCTCAAGCAGTAATGAGTGCAGAGGGAATAAGAAAATGCTGAACTGTGTGCTTCTGGACCACAGAGGAGTCCAATTAAGGGAGAAAGAGGAAGGACTCTAATAAGGACTTGAAGGCGGGAAGCCTATCGGGGGTAAGTGGATGCGTGTGAACTTACATGTCTTTGGCTGGCTGGATGTGAGGATGGAGAAGATATACTGTATAGATAAGGATGAATAGAGCATATGCAAACCATTTAGATTTAGAGCAGAGTTTCCCTGTGTGTGTTTAGTGAAACGCATTCCCCAGGGTAAGTATAGATGTGGGGTGAATAAAAGTTCTACAGCCAAATAATTTGGGGAGTAGTCATCTGGTATTAAGTGGATTTTAGGGGCACAGAGTCGGGCACAGGAGGCTGTGGCAGTAAATCCAGAGCGTTGCTGTTACAGTTTGAGTGGGCGTGACGCGTGCAATGGAAAGAGAAAAAGCAAATTAACAATAGAGACATCTGAAGAGGATGGGGCGAGTTTCAAGCTTGGCAAGCTGGAGGAACGGTGGTAAGCGTGATGGACCTGAAGAAGCTGGGGAGAAGAGCCAGTCTGGGGGCGGAGGCAAGGAAGACGAGGCTGCTTACATGTTGGAGAACCTACAATGCAACGCTACGTTTTGAGGTGTTTCAGGTCCTTGCTTTGGGGGCTTCTGGGAGATTGATAGAAGGAGAAGCTAAAAGGGCCCCCGAGTTGTAGAATTTTTGCATGCAAAGGAGTCTTGGACACACAGATTTTATGGGAACCCCTTGGAACATCCCACAAAGTTGTTGGAGACCACCATGTAGCCTATGACACAAGCTGCTTCCGGTTTCCCTAACGTAGCCCCGAATTATTGCATTCGGGGTGACTCTATGCACGAGGAGGGGCTTCCCAATACCAACCCAAAGTCTACGTCCACCGTCTGCCCACTAGTTGTGGGATGAGAGCAGTTGATCCTGTCCCTGCTCCCCTCTCTGTGCCTTAATCTTGGCTCTAACAGTCATACCTGAGGCTGAAGAGGCTGGCACTTATCCGATAGCATATTTTCTGCAGGTAAGTGTTTTAGAATGCCCAACCCATGCAGTGTTTCTCAAACTGAGGTACCTGGACATAATTTCAGGAGCTCATCAGCTCTAATTTCTATCTTCTGTTTGGTAATATACTGAACAAAGCTTTGTACACAAAGCCTAACCAGGGACACCAGACAACCACCGAACCACCACATACACCCTCCATTGTACACTCTCGATTTCAGAGCCTGCTTTTGTGCGTTCGTTTACCAACACACAGCTTTTGCCAAAACATATCACTTTTGCTGTTCACAGGCTAATGAGAAAGGAGGAGAGGTGGATTTCATTTATCCATGATGTTTCTGAGCTTCTGTCTGTGACCAAGAAAGTCTCCTGATGATCTGAGTAGTGCAGTGGTTCCCAAAGTGTGGTTCCCTAGACCAGCGACAGCAAGCCTCAGCTGGGAACTTGTTAGAAGGCACGTTCTTGGGCTCCGCCTCAGACCTGCTGAATCAGACACTCTGGGGTGGGGCCCTGCCATCTGTGTCTTCACAAGTCCTTCAGGTGCTTCAAATGCACACTCAAGTTAGAAAGCCACCAGAAGGGTGCCAAGGGGCGGAAGAGCTGAGTGATCTCAGACAGGCCTGACCAGCTCAGAGCCCAGCCCAGCAGTGAGCACTACAGACTGTGCTCAGCCATTCAGTTCTCACAGAACAGTAGCCATGGCATGTAATTTGTGTTGCTAATTTGAGTATTTGGAGGTTTCTTTGGTCTTGGTTATACTTAACTTGTAAATTATTTCTTTTTTATTTGTACAGAGCCATAAATACCATGTTTAATGTTACGTTTGTAAACATTGAGTAAAATTTAAACAAAAATAGCAAGTCAAGAAGAGGGCTTGCCAAGAATGTTCTTCCTTCACAAGAAGATCATATAATACTCAAAGTTTGAAGAAAACTGCCCTATGACTTTTCATATTTCCCTTTATCTTTAGGGGACACAGACCTTCCTACCAGGGGTAGGGTGCATAAAATGGTGCAGAATGCTACAGGATGCTACCATTACATTATGGTAATGTGAGCAGAATTCAATTGAAGGAGCTTGATGAATGTAATATGGGGCCAGGGGACCCACTCTAAAACCTTTATGAAAGTTTCTTCCTTCAAGAAGTCCTTGAGACATGAAACTTCTGGTCTCCTAGTCCCCAACTGGCTGCAAAAGATGACAAAAATCTCAAGTCACTGCCATTCTCCATTATCTGGCTGGGACCACACATAAAGGTAACCCATGCTTGTCTTAAAAATGGTGCCAGTAAATTCTGTCTGTGGTCAGACCAGGATTGAGCGAGTGGTTTTTATAGTAACTCTAACTGGTTATTTTACCAAACTGCCTCCAGAATCCACTTCTCTTGGAGGAGTTTCTCATCAACAAAAACGGTCACAAATCCTTAAAGAGGACCCACCTCTCTCATCCCAGGGCCGCTCATCTACAAGATGTGGATAATAATGGTATCTCCCTCTCAGGTTGTATGAGGGTCAAGTGAATTAAGCCACAGAGAGTGCTGGACGCTGTGCCTGGTGTAAATTCAGTGCCTGATAAATGTGATTAATTGTTTCATCAAAAAACTTTAAAAAACAACAGGGAAAAAAGCTACAGTTTGTATGCTATTGCCAAATAATAATGGAAACCTACTTGAATAGTCATGCAGTCCTAGGATATTTTAAGAGGAAAACTAGGTTGAGCATCTTAATTCCGCTCGCCTAGAGTTTTCATGTACCTTTAATATCTGGATAAAAAGAAATCTAGTCCCTCTGACCTTTCAGAAGTATGTGAGAATACCAAGGGAAAATATGTGGAATGCAGTTTATAAAGCTCTATAATCCCACAGAACTAGTAGCATTTTCAAACATGTTCAGAATTTCCTGATATGTCTTTTGAAATATGGCCCAGGGGTTCTTTAGCTTCTCCATGGCACACATGGGGGCCCCCAAAAGTCACAGATAGTTTTAAAGAAATAAAGTGATGAGACTTTGGGATGAAGGAGGGCAACAAGCAAATACGATTCAGGTTTTTCCAAGCAGAAAGAAATACAGCTGAGTCGTGGCTGGGGTGGAAGAAGTTACTGGCCAGTCTGGAACATTCTGATGTGAAAAGAGAAAGAAAAAGTGACACTG